TTTACCCATAGAAAGGAAGACAAGTAAAAAGATATTTAGTGTGCATGTTTGGGCCATGCAATTGTCATAAAAATGGAGATACTATAGGCTTAACGCTATTACAATCATTTTATGAAGGGAATACTTTACACAATTGGTTAAAACAGAAAAGTCACTTGGAGGAACAAAAGATCTAGAATAGCAAAGAAACTACTGGGGAAAATCATTTGGAATGAAGTGGGGTATATATAGTATTAGCAGACCTCAAACTATATTGTAAAATTGTCATTATAAAAGCTATTTGATTCTCACGAAAAAATAGAAAAGAATAGCTATGGAGCAGACTAAATAAATATGAATCAGACGCAATAAAAAGGAATAGTTGTCCTGTAAAAAACTGAAGAACATAAATACCTTCTGCAAGGGCTCCCTACTGGATAAGAGCTGCTGGGAACATTGGAAAGCAAGTTGGCATAATGTAGGCTTAGGCTAGTATCTTACACCATGTACCACTCAATACCGAAACTAGATCTGTGATGTCATTGAATCAGAAGTTCCTTCCAATAGTGCAGACTATAGCCCATGTCTGCCTATCCCATCTCACTCTGGTCCTTGTCCTTCAATCATTTTCCCATTGAAGCCCACCAAATGGGCAGGTTATGTTTAAATTACTTCTCTAACATTGGGAGGGCACCTGTCATCCCTGATCATATGACCAATCCATCTTCTCTGTATGCACTCCCTGAATCACATCTTTGACTGTGGTTTTTCTTTGAAAGCCTCTCATTGGTTACTTGTTGCAGCTGGCTTTACGCCCATGGGCAGCTAGATGGTAAAGTGGATACAATGCTGGGCCAGGAAGATCTGAGTTTAAATCTGGCATCGGACACTGATTAGCTTTGTGACCCTGGGGAAGTCACTTAACCCTGTTTGCCTCAGTTTCCTCTTCTATAACATGAACTGGAGAAGGAAATTGCAAATCACTCCAGTATCTTTGCCAAGTGGAGTAGACCAGGTTCCTTCCAGTTTGAAAATGATTCTTTGATTCTATTCCCTTTCTACAGTTTAACCTGCAAAGCAGGATGACCTGTCCCTCATCCCGTAGTATGTCCAATGGGTATTTTCTGGCAACAGCTGTAAGCCTCTACTCCCATACTTGGGCTCACTGTGGTACAGGAGGGTGGGTGGGCTCAGTGAAACTGAAGGTCTGGGTTGACCTGGGTGGCCCTAGCTACCTCAGGTTCATATTGGAGCCATAATCTCATTCCATTTACCTTTCTTCCAGATGGAAACAAAGAAATAATAGAATATCTATTCTATAAATGTTCCTTTCCTTTCAGAGAGTCAGGAAGAAATGAACCTGTAGGAATCATTCCTTCAAATGATTCCTTAAAGGAAATCATTAAGAGTATATTTGCATGAATCTAAACTATTTAACCAGAGCACCAAACCTGCTGTGTGTCTTTACAGAAGGAACTGCTGGGAGGGGAGGGCCTTGGACAGAGGGTGAACTGGGCATTCGTAGTATTCTGAGAGGAAAATTTCTTTAGAAAGCCCTGTCTTTCCTCAACCTATTCAAATGCCATCTGCAACCTCAGTTACCCAGCTCCTTCACACCCACCTCAATGCATACATATAACAGACACAGGCGCAAACAAAAGTGAAGACGGCTCGTATGTGCCTCCATTCAGTTGTAGCTCAGGCCGTGAAGCTGGTGAGGTTGACCCTGGTAGGCAGCCATCATCAATGTGCCTTGCAGCTGCTTCAGAAATACTTGAGGAGAGAACCTGCCAGCCCATCATCCCTTTTTGAGGAACAAGTCTGGGGAATTTGGTCCCTTCCTTTCAAGGTCGCCAGCATCAATCCCTTCTGAGGGTCTCCCAGAAAATAGCATCAAGTGACTCAGTCAGTAAGCACTGGTTCTCTTTCTTTGTGGAATTTCTAGAATTACTCCAATCAAAGTGTTGGATAATGTCCCGGCCCAGTGAGCGCCTGCACCTGTGTTGCCAGGCACTTGTAGATGGGGCAGCAGCAGCCGAGGGAGTTCCCAGGTGACTGGCCAGCACACCAACTTCAGGGAGGGTCTTCTCAGGTAACAGGAGCCAGAGGAGTCTAAGCTGCTTTCTCCATCACAGCTGCCTGGGGCAGCCAAGGGCCTTGGGTGCTGCCATGTGCACATTTCTTTCCTGCCCCATTTTGGGTGGAGCCATTACTCTACTGCTTGCTTTCCCCACAAACAAGAGAATTTCCTCTCCCCTTTGACCCCAACTATTGGCTGCTGATGCCTTCTCCTTCTGAGAACAGGAACTGGAGAGAGGCAACTTTGAGCATGGAGAAGGCTGGAAGCCCTAAGGCCTGAAGCTGGGCAGGGAACAACCCCTCTCAGCCACAGACCTCTTCTCCCTGGCCCCAAGGCCCATGCTTCTTAGGGTGAGAAGCCAGGTGGGTGAAGGGCCTGTGGGTGAGGACACATTTTCAGCTGATTCTTGGCTCCTCTCATACCTCATCATGGTGGTTTTATTTGGAAATAGGCACTTACTGGCCCATGGTAGCTGGGGCTTTATTCAATCCTACATTGCACATGAAAAATTATTCATGTCTTTAAGGAATAAGAACAGCAAAAGAGGGCTTTGGCTATCATTATTTTTCATCCTCAAAGTCTCCAGGAGTCTCATTCCCCTCCAGCCCTTTCCCCTTCACTTTCTTTCTTACCCTTCCTCTTTTTCACCCTCATATCTTTGTTCTTCATACTTGCTGCCCCCTAGGACTGTGAGGAGGAAGTCCAGTAGTGTCAAAGGCCCCTCACATAGCCCTTTTCACCTATAATACCCCAGGATCCTCCTCAGGGTACTACTCCAAGGATGACAGTGCAGATAGGCATCACTTCTTCTATTCTGGAGCCCCATCCCCCTGGCAGTGCCACATTTACTTTAAAGGGTGCCCAATACCTGGGGGTGGGGCATGTATCCTTCAGATAAGAGGAAGAAAGAACTCTGTAGTCTGGCTCCAGATGGGGATTTGGAGGCTGAAGGCAGGGCTCAAGCCCTCAAACATGGTTGTCTCTCCTTCTGGGTGGATCCTCATTTCTTCCCTTCCCTGCAGGGCAGTCCCTAATCCACCAGCCTGGCTCTGCATCCACTTTCACTAATGGCACCTCCCAAGTTGGCATTTTTAGCTCGATGGCAATAAACTTTTCAGGGTGGATTCTGCCAGTGGTTGGGCACAGTGCCCAGGGGAGTGGTGGTAAAGTGTACCTAGAAGAGCTTCTTCATGCCTATACAGGGCCAAGTTGGGCCAGGGTGCAGTAACTCTAGGACAATGTGTGGAGATGGGCTTATTATGGAAGGATCCCAAAGCGAAGCTGAAGAGCTGTGGGAGGATGGAGGAGCAGAATAGCAAGAAGCGGCTGCAGAGGTAGCAGTCTGGGAGGAGGCTAGATCTGAGAAAGGATGGGCTTACAGGGTGAAGCCTTTGAATCCCTCTGCTGGGACCTTTACAGGCTGGCTCTTTGCAGCATTCCAGTGGTGCCTCGGAAACACCTGACACTGCCTGACCAATGCTGCCTCCCTCCAGGACATCTTTCTGTTAATCAGGTCAGTGAGGCCCACCTGGGGCCTGTCAGACTTTAAGATCCACAGTCCTCAAAGTCAATTTCCCCTTCGGCTTTGTCCTGTTCCTTTACAGCTTTTTGAGACTTTTATGCAATGCATCTTATTATAGACTCAGGTCAGGGCCAGGGGTGTGCTGGAACCAGCTGGAACCTGCTCCTGAGAGTCAGCTACCAATTAGGACTTCATTGAGTGTCTCCACTGAAGAAGATGATGGGAGAAGTGGTTTGTGTGTGCCATGGTCTCCTCCAGAGCTGGTTGTTCAACATTTGCAGCACACGCCAGCCCCCATTCCTCTTGGCTCTTCAGGGAAGTGGGTTGGCTCTGACTACAAGTGGGACTCTCTTCCTGAGTATCTTTTAGGAGCTCTCCCCTCAGTAGTTCCTGCCTCTGATTACAAGTGAATCTGGTGAGTTCACCTCTGCTAATTTGAGGGGCCCAATTTTCCAGGGCCACTCCCTCCTTTGGGGTTCCAATCCAGAATTTTCTGCCCAGTCTTCCAGGTCTCCGTGCCATGCTTGCAGTTTCTCTGTGGAGGAGCATGGCCAGGTTTCCAGGATACATGCAGGGCTGAGTCCAAGAGCCTCTAGAGTAGGGGTGGGGAACCTGAGGCCTCCAGGCCACATGTGACCTAGGTGTTGCGTGCGACTTTTGGACTGAGTCCAAGTTTGATAATATCAATCTTTTGCTGAAGGGGATTGATCCTTTGAACTCTGGCCACACCAGAGGACCTAGTGGACCCCATGTGAATACTTGGATCCACAGGCTGGGCCAAAGGTGACCAGCCTGCCTCAGCAGGTCTTCCTCCTGTAGCTCTTCCAAGCCCAAACTGACAAGCATTGTAAGGACTTAGACCAAAGAAGACTGCCTAATTCATGAGCACCATATGAACCTAGTTCTGATGGAGGCTTGATAGGGAGACACCTTCCACTGGACCTGTCAAAGGGCAGCATGTCACCTTGCATAGCAACATGAGTGCCTTTCCAAAAGCCAAGTTTTCCCCTTTCACTTTACCCCAAGGGCTATCCATAAAAGCCCTGCTCTCTTCTTCTTGGGTACACAGTGGCAGAGGGAGGAGGTGGGAAGGGGAAGAATGGGCACAACTTTTAGGTTATTTCAATTGCTACTCAGGGAGGGTCTCCCAGGAGCCTGGGGTGAGGAAGGGCAGGCACTAACATCTCCTTCACCCTGATGAAATCCAGGAACTTTTGCATTCGGAAGAAGGTGCTCCTCTTTGTCTCGGGGCTGCTGTTGCTTGTGGCTTTTCTAGCTTATGGTGAGCCTTCTGGAGTACCCAGGGGGGCCACTCCAGATGGGCGGGAAGGACCAGAGCGTGGGGACAGAGCCGCCAAAGGAAAGTTTGGCTTCTAGGTGGAGTCCAAGGTCCCTGGTTGGATTCAGCAGGTCCTTCATATGAAGCTAGAGGAGGTGCAGGCCCAGCTTCATGATCTGGAGCACAAAATCCTGAGTCGTGTGACAGAGGAGCAGGACAAGTCTGTGAGCAAACCTGCTGCCATCTTGTGGCCGACCCTCTTGAAGGAAGGAGTGATCATCGAGGTGACCAAGGAGGTGAGGTGTGCCCCACTCGCTGTCCCCTGGCTGGGATCACTGGTTTGCCCTGAAAGAGCCTGCCAGGAGGGAGGGGGAAACCCTGGTAGAGCAGGCAGCTCTTGCCTGGCCCCCACATGGACTGGGCCAGCCACGCAGGTGGCCTGTCCCCTAAGTGGTGCATGCCTGTCTTTTAGGAAGTGCACCAGATCATACAGCAGGCGCTGAAAGAATACAGTGAAGATCGCATCGGGCTTTTGGAATATGCCCTGGAGTCCTCAGGTAGGTGGCCTGTGGAAAACCAGAGGTTTCAGGACAAGAGGGATTGGAAAATCAGGGTGGCCCTTAGGAGAAAGGAGGAATTGACAAATCAACATGTCCCTTATGGACCAGGGCAGTTAGGAGGGCTGATGCCTCAGCAGCACCCCCTCACCTTGAGGGTTGCCTTAGGCCATCTCTGTGTCCTCCCAGCCCTTTGGGTCGCCCCCTCCTCACTTCTCTCCCTGTTGCTCTTTCATGGGCCAGCATCGTCAGTAGCCGTTCATCAGAGACCTATGGCATCAGGACGGAGTGGTTTGGCATCCCCTTTTGGCACTATTTGCAGTCCCCAAGAGTCATCCTCCAGGTAGGGCTGAACAAAGGTCCCCCAGCTTGGCTCTTTCTGTGCCATCTCCCACCGTCCTCTGTGGGGGCTGTTCTCTCAAGACAGAGTGGCCCCAGGACCAGGACCTGTTCCATCTGCTGCCTCCTTTCACCGTACTTGTCTTGTGCCTACAGCCAGAAGTCCACCCTGCCAACTGCTGGGCATTCAGGCGCCCCCGGGGCTTTGTCGTGGTGCACTTATCTGCCCAAATCCAGCTCACTGCCGTCACCTTGAAGAACGTGCCCAAATCCCTGTCACTAACCGGTGACATCCCCAGTGCCCCAAAGGACTTTGTCATCTTGGTGAGTACCTGAGCCTGGCAGCTCTTCTTTCTAGAGTGGTAGAAAGTCATTTCTTAATAGTAGCATTACCAGGTGAGGAATGCAGGGGTGTGTGCATTTTTCACAAGGACCATTGAGGCTGGTCTCCTGGCTAGAGGCCCAGACCTTCTGTTCTTCCCCCTCTTCTTCAAGAGGAACCAGCAGTTCTAGCCAAGACTACAATGCCACCTTAGGGTCCTTTTTGACAGAACGTTGCCTCCCTGGCCAGGTGTGCCATGGTGGAGGTGGTTGGGGACGGTGACTGCCATCCTATATGTAGTCACCACTCAGGGCAGAATTGGAACGTCCACCTAAGGAGGATTTGAGAGAAAAGAGGGAGCCAGAGCAGAAGGTATCAAATGGAGGAAAGGGAGCCACTTTAGAATCCAAATCCAGATTCAGATGAAGATATTGAGGCTCACACGCTGAAGGGGTTTGTGCCAACCCATTCAGAGGCTTAGGGGAAGAAGCTGAGAAGAAGGCCAAGGCCTTGGAGGGCAAAGGCTCTGTCCATTGAATTAGTGAGAGAGATTCTAGCAGGTGAGGGGATTAAGGAAGGCAACATCAAAGTGGATTGTGTTTGCTCCTCTTCCCCTCCCCAATATATCCTGCCTTGTCTGCCTCCTCCTTCCCCCGGACCTCTCCCATTTTTCCCTTCAGGGACTCATTTGGATTCTTGTCCTAACAGCATGACCTTTCCTGCACCCCACTCCCAGCCATTCATTTGTCCATCCCTCCATTCCCCTTCTTTTTCCTACTGTGCAGGGGCTCAATGAAGATTCCCAGGAGGAGGGGGTGGCCCTTGGGCAGTTCACCTATGATAATGCTGAGGAGGCCATTCAGACCTTTGCCTTTCAGATATGGAGGGCCAGTCCCACCACAGTCCCCCAGTGACCTAGGAAGGCTGCTGATATGGAGGCCAGGATCACTGGCCACTGGGATGCTCTGGTTTTGCAGTGGTTGCAGTGGGAGCCAGGGTCTTGTGGGTCTGATTGGAAACTGAAGGATAAGCTTGGGGCTGAATTCAGCCACTGCTCTTTAAAGGAAGCCTGGGGCACAAGGGTTGTGGGGGCTGGACCTCCGCCAAGGGATCTTGGGCCTTCTTCACCTCACTATCTTCTTCCCACATGGCAATGACACAGCCCCATACCAGCTGATAGAGCTGCGAATTGTCAGGAACTGAGGTCATCCTGAGTATACCTGCATTTACTGCATCTGGGTCCATGGGAAGCCTGCCACTTAGCCCCTACCCACCCTGGTGCCTTCACCCCTTCCTCCTTCAGCCACCAGCAAGCAGCTCTCCCACCCCTTCCTCCCTCCCCCTGCTTAATCTCTTCTGGGCATTATGGTTTCTGGGAGAGAGACAGAAAGTAGGAGCCCACCTCCATGGAGCCCTCTTGCCTCACCAGGCCCTCTCTGATACGGATAAGACTAATAACTGGGCCTTCGGTTCTCACAAAGCCTACACTTGGGGGAAATTTTGCCCCCAGGATCACCTGGAGTGGCATTTAGAAACTGTATGTCAGCATGGGTTGTAGCCATGGCTAGGTGGCCCCTTGTACCCACTGGGGCTTCATTTAGACTGGACTGGAGGGTTTCTAGTGTGTGGAAAGGCAGTATTGTTAGATAGAGCATTAGCCATGGATTAGGTAATGCTGAAAGAGAAGAGGGCTCAGAGTGTAGCCAGGGGTCATGGGGAGAGGGACTTCCCTTATGCTGCTGGTACCAGTTTCTCCTGCCTGCCCTCAGGGACCCACCCAGAGGCTCTTCTAGAACTCTATGCAAGTTACTCCTGCTAATCCTGGGTGCCCCCCTGAGCTCTATAGGATCTCTGCATTGAAGATCAAGTAGGGCCTACTATAGGCCTACTAAATCCAGGAGATTGTCTTGAGATGACTGTAAGAATCAGTTAGCATGCTTTCCTTTTTTCAATTGTCTTTTTTTCCCCTGTATTTGGAAGCAAGGAAGCAGAGGTCTCTTCCTCTCCTGGCCTTGCTCCCTCCCTTTCTTTCTCTCCCTTCCTCTTTTCACCCTCATACCTTTGCTCTTCATGTTTGCTGTCCCCCAGCAGTCTGAGGAGGAAGTCCAGCAGGGTAAAATGCCTCTCACCAGCCTCTCACCTGGCCCTTTGTACCTGTAACACACCCACATCCTCCTCAGGGTAATTCTCTAATGATGACTGTGCAGGTAGGCATCACCTTTTCTGCCCTGGAGCTCCTTCCCACAGGCACTGCCTAGCTTCGGGGAGGGTGGGGTGGCTCATGTATCTCTCAGATAAGAGGAAGCAAGAACTCTGCAGTTTGGCTCCTGATGGGGGTTTGGAGGGTGGGAGGAATCAAGCCCTCAGGCATGGTAATGGTGGATGCTCCAGGTCCACTTGTCTCTCCTTCTGGGTGGATCCTCATTTCTCCCCTTCTCTTCAGGGCACTCACTTATCCACCAGCCTGGCTCTGCATCCACCTTAAACAATGGCACCTCCCAAGTTGGCATTTTTATGTGGGTAACCATCAACTTTTAGGTGGGTTCTGCCACTGGATGGGAACAGTATCTAGGGTAGTGATGGTGCAGTGCACCTAGAAGAGTCTCTTCATTCCTATGCAGAGGTAGGCTGGGCCAGGGTGGAGTAACTCTAGGACTCTGTGGGGAGATGGGTTCATTATGGAAGTATCCCCAAGCACAGCTGGAGAGCCGTGGGAGAATACAAGACCAGAATCCAAGAACCAGCTGCAGAGTTGGCCGGCTGGGAGGAGGCTAGCTCTGGGAAAGGATGGGCTTGCAGGGTGAAGCCTTTGAATTCCTCTGCTGAGACCTTGACTTTGCAGTGCTCCAGTGGTGTGTCAGCAACAACTGGTACGACCTGACCACAGCTGCCTCCCTCCAAGACTTCTTTGTGTTAACCGAAGTGCAGGCACTCGCTGCATCAAGACATCCTTAAAGGCTTAGACTCTTGAGTAATTCTAGAAATTCCCCAAAGAAGGAAAAATCAATGAGAAGCAGTGCTTACTCACTGAGTGACCTGATGTTATTTTCTGGGAGACCCTGAGAAGGGACTAACGGGGGCGAGCTTGAAGGGCAGGGACCAAGTTCCCCAGAATTATTCCTTCAGAAGGAAGCTGGAGTGGCACAGAGAGGTGCTCTCCTCAAGGGTTTCTGAAGCCTGGCTCTGAAGGACTCCACTCAGTCACTGACACCTCTGTTCCTGGGGATTTTGGAGGGAGAAGTTAGGGGATATAATAGGGCAGCAGTGCCAAGCGGGCAGCTCTGGAGAGTGACTCTGTGCCCTCGCACAGTGGAAGGCACGGAGCTCCAGACCCTCCACCTCTCTAACACCTTTTCTCTTGGCCACACCATGCCAGGGCATGACTCTACGGGGTACCTGGTGAGACGACTATGTCCGTCCCCCGACCGTACAGTCCAAGTCCGCGTCTGTGTCCGCTTCCTTTGGTGTCTACCGGAGGAACGCCTGAGGAACACAGGGCACGCGCCAGAGGGACTGCGAGGACAGAGTGCGCGAGCTCGGGCTAGAGGCAGCCAGGCTTTCATCCTGGGAGGATCATCCTTAGCCTGGGACTGGCCCAATTGAGAGGGTTTCCTAGAGGGCAGCTGGGCTCTGGCATTGGGAGGATGAGACCAGCCAAGACGGGGATTAAAGTGGGTAATGAGCCCCATTCAGGTCAGCCAAAAGGAGCATATGGGGCCATGGGACTGGGAGGGTCAACGCAGTGCACGGGACTGTGGTCAGTCCTCCCCTGAGACACAGACACACACACACACACACACACACACACACACACACACACACACACACACACACACACACACGGAGAGATCGATTGACATCTCTAGGAAAAGCAACCCGACTTTGTCCCAGAGGGAGGTGGAAAGTCATGCCAGGTCTTCGCATTGGGAAGCTGGCGCTGGCTTATGAAACTTGATTTTGGGGTTGTTTGTAAGAGAGGGATATGAAGCAAGGGGGCAAACAGGCCAGGCAGTGAAGGACTCAACTCAGTCATAGACACCCCTTTAGCTGAGGATTTGGGGCAGAGAGGTTAGGGGATGGAGTAGAGACACCCGTGCCCGGGGCCGACTCTGGGGGGCGGGCAGTTGTGCCATGGTACAGAGGGTTGTCATCCAAGAGGAGGGACAGATACTATGGCCTCGCGCAGAGGAGAGCACTGTGCCTGCTCGCTCCCAGGTTTACAAATCCTTCACCTCCCTAACATCTCTCCTGGCCCGGCCCTGGCCTGGGGAGGCCCGCCCAGCAACCTAAGGAGACAGCTAAATCCCTCGCCAGACGGCTGGGTCCGCATCCGCGGCACTCCGGAGAATTCCCTGCTTCCCCCTTTCACTCCGGCATGGAGGTGGTGCCTTCAGCTTGCTCCCGATCATGTTTATGAAATCCCCCGTGGGCTAAGGGCCATACTCCCCATGTGGGTGGAGCAGCTGCTCCCATTGCCCTCTAGATCCAGCAGCTCTTCCATCCTGCCCACCCTGCCCCCGTTATGGCTGCTGATGTCCACAGCACCTTGAAACTCTGGTTGCTGAGGATGGAAGTGGGAATGGCCCTCCAATATTTAGGAGTGCCACCTGTGCCTCAGAGTGGCCAGGAGGTCAAGGCCAACTAACACTTTTTATTAGTATTATTTAAATTTAACTTTTTTAACCTTTGAATTTCCAAAGTCTCTCCCTTTCCCCCTCCCGATTCCCAGCCCCTCATTGAGAAGGCAAGCAGTTCCATGTAGGTTATATACTTGTAGTCATGCAAAACATAGTCATGACACTCATGTTGTGAAAGAAAACACAGACAAAAAAACTCAGGAAAGAAAAGAAAGTGGGAAAAAAATAGTTGCTTCAATTTCTATTCAGATACCACCAGTTCTCCCTCTGGAGATGGATAGCATTTTTCATCCTAAGTCCTTCAGAGTTGTCATGGATCCTTCCTTGTAGTGCTGAGAAGAGCTAAGTCATTCTCAGCTGATCATCTTACAATATTGCTGTTATTTTGTACCCAGTACATTTCACTTTGCATGAACCCATGCAAGGTTTTCCAGGTTTTTTGGAGAGCATCATGGTCATCATTTCTTATAGTATCTATATGTATATAGAGAAATGAGGTCTTTCTCAGAGAAGCTTGTTTCAAAAATTTTTTTTTCACTGTTACTTTTGCTGCCTGTATTTCCCTCTATCCTATTCCCCTACCCCCTTTATTCTATTCTCTCTCTCCTTTCAACCTGTCCCTCTTCAAAAGTGTGTTGCTTCTGATTACCCCTTACCCCAATTTGCCCTCCCTTCTATCACCTCCCTTTCTCTTATCCCCTTCCCCTTCTATTTTCCTGTAGGATAAGATAGATTTTTACCCCTTGCCTGTCTATCTTATTTTCCTGTTGCATGAAAAACAGTTTTAACATTTGCTTTCAAAACTTTGAGTTCCAAATTTTCTCCCTTCCTTACTCCCCACCCACCATCATTGAGAAGAGAAGGAATTCAGTATAGTTTACACCTCCGCAGTCATGTCAGACACTTCCATAATACTGATGTAGTGAAAGACTAACTATATTTCCCTCCATCCTTCCCCCCCATTTATTCTCTTCTCTCCTTTCACCCTGTCCATCCTCAAAAGTGTTTGCTTTTGACTACCTTTTTCCCAATCTGCCCTCCCTTCTATCATCCTCCCTCTTATCCCCTCATCCTCTAATTTCTTGTACGATAATAGAGATTTCCATACCCAATTGAGTTTGTGTGTTGTTCCTCCTTAAGCTAAATCCAAGGACAGTAAGGTTCACTTATTTCCTCTCAACTCTCCCCTTTTCCCCTCCCTGTAAAAGCTTTTTATTTGTTCTTCTAGAAGAGATAATTCATCCAAGTCTACCTCTCCCTTTCTCCTTCTCCCAATACATTCCTGTCTCACCCTTTCACTTTATATTGTAGTTATCATCCTTTCATATTCAAGTCACCCTGTGTTCTCTATGTATTTTCCCTCCAACTGCCCTCATCCTGAGAAAGATCTCATCAGTTACAAATATCATCTATCCATCCTTCCATTTCAGGAAATGCCAGGATTGCTCACTGGTTTCTGCCTCTTCTGGATTTCTACCTCATTATTCTTTTTTTTTTTTTGCTTTCTTTTTGTTTCTTTAATTGAATTTTATGGTAGACTCAAGCACTAGAACAGAAATACAGAAGGGAAAAAAAGTTATCATGAACTTAAATACTGGAACTTAATTACAAATTAAGAAAAAAAGCATGTCATCTGTAGAGAAGAGTATAAGAGAGGATTCAAAATATATAACGATAAATTTCATTTCATGAAAGTCTATAAGATAAATGATACCATTGGTGTTGAAAACTGTCCATTGTTTCTTGGCTTCCTCGTAAGTTTTATTTTATTCTCTGGTGTGCATTTTTTTAACTTTGTTCTCCCTCTCCCCCCCCCCCCACTTCACCCCCCCGAAGGCTACAATTGAGTATGAATACATTTCTCTATTTCTATAGATATACACACATACATATATACACATATAAACTTACATGTATAGTTTGAGAAATGCTAACAGTTTGGTTCTCACAGAATCGATAAGAAACAGGGGGACAGGGGAGATTGGTTTTCTGGTTTTTTGGTTTAGTGGTTTACTGGTTTACAGAAATATGTGAACAAGATGAGGGGGAGATTGGTTTTCACAGACTCCATAGAAAGAGTAGGTGCTGCATTGCAAACACAGATGTTACAAAGGATATGCTGGAGTATTGGGACAAGTTGGAGGTTAAAGCCAAGTCATCCTGTGTAACCTCTTGCTCTGCTCCTCTACAGGTGTGTGAGTTCTGTGAAGAAATCTACACACCCATTTCTTGAGAGAATAGTCAATAAAGATATCTCTTCTTTCCCTCCAAAAATTGTGATTTCGTAATTACCCAGTTAACTCTTGTTCAGGGGATTCACCAAGCCCAGTCTCAGGCTGAATTCCAAATTGAGTCTGGGGTTGGTGTAACAAACATGGGGACTCGGTCCAGAGTACTCCTGAGTTAGTTATTTGAGGGATAAGTGGAGGAAGAGCCCTCCCTCCTATTTTTGGCAATCCTCTGCTTTTCTCCTCAGCTCCCTCAAACTGCTCATGAGACCTGAGACTTCAGTATTTGCCAAATTGAGTGTTTCAACAGATGCAGGGAAGAAGGGAAGAACCAGCCCTAGACCAGGTAAAGTCGACATGTCAAAGTAGGGAAAAATTGATGGCTGAAGTACCTGCCTTGTTGGTCTAGAGAACCCTCCTTTCTGGAGACTGTTGAAGCTAGCCCGGGTGGTACTTTTAGAGGAACTGCTTAGAAATGGGAAGGAAGAGCTCAAAGGAAAAGGTGATGAGGGAGGGCAAGGCGGAGCCCCTGCCTGAGATTCCCCAAAATAGTTCACGGAGGAGGAATCTAGGTGGTGAAGTAGATAGAGCACCAGCCCTGAAGTCAGGACGACCTGAGTTCAAATCTGCCCCTTCGACTAAACACTTACTTCCTGTGTGACCCTGGGCAAGTCACTTAACCCCGATGGCCTTAAAAAAAATAGTTCAAGGGGGACTGGAGAATGCTAGCAAATTGGGGTAATGGGACTACCCAGGATATTAAAAACTATTAGCAGGGGGAGTCAGACTGTGATTTTTGCTGGAAGAAAAGACTGGTCAAGGTTAGAATTAGAATCATGCGCACATTGTCTGTCCGTCTGTGTGTAAAAGTTTTATGTATGTCAGAAGAAAAAAAAATAAGTCTGAAGTTAGAGAAAGAACAGTGGGAAAGAACTCCCACTTTAGGCTTTCAGTGTGAGATTAAGACTGTTTTTTGGGGGTGGTCCCAACACTGGCCAAGTTGGGATACCAGAATAAGTTAGATAATGAGTAATGGAATCATTACTGATAAAGGTTTGGAGCATGCTGCCTAAAATGGCGAGGAGGACTGAGAGAGGGAAGGGGATGAGAAGAATTTGAATTCAAGTTTGGTCCATTTGCACTGTATGTATCTTACATGTACAGAGTTATTTTCATGTTCCACTTGTAGAATGTCAGTTGCTTGAGCAAGGTCTGAGTTTGTGTCTTTCAGTGCATCCCTAGCACTTAAGACAGTGCCCAGCACATACTGCCACAAAAATGCTTGTTGACACTTGGCTGACTGACTGGATCCATGGATGAAATGGTGCAGCCCCAGAGCCATAGCACCTCTGAAGGGATCTGTTTGTTCTCAACATCTTTGACACGATTAGCCCCTACAGGTAGAAAGCACCTTCCCATGACTTCTTCTCAGGTCCCCAGGTTACAATTCACATTCAATTCTATGCTTTGTGAACTACCAATAGCAAATGGTGAATAAGGTCTCTCTCTATCCCACAATCCTCTGGGACATTCAACTTCCTTTAGCTTCATTCTGAACCAGAATGTAAAAAGAGACTCCCAAGTTCCCAAGGCAGAAAGAACATTAGGATAAATCTGTTCTTCACCCATTGTTTCAAAGATGAGGAAACTGAAGTGCAGAGAAACAGAACCCCCTTTATGTTCTGCCTGGTAGTGATAGAGTCAGAACTATCTCAGGACCTCCTACTGCTTCTCTTGCCTCTGCAAATGGTAAACAAGGCCTTAGAGCGCAGTCCAAAGAATTGCCTGGACTTAAAGGGAAAGATCCAGTATTCTAAAGAGGACATTACTTGGTAAAATTTGGTTAAAGTGCCCTAAAAATGTGGGTGATTGTATGATCTGATAAAACAATAATAGTTAGCATTTATATTGCACTTTAAGGATTGCAAAGCACTTTACAAATATGATTGTATTTGATCCTCACAACAACCATGTGAAGGAGGTGCTATCATTATCCTCAGCTTATAGATTAGGAAACTGAGGCAGACAGAGGTTAAATGACTTACCCAGGGTCACACAGCTAGTAAGTGTCTGAAGTCAAATTTGAACTCAGACCTTCCTGATTCCAGGTCCAGTAATCTATCCACTGGGCACCTACATGTCAATATACTCTTTGGCTGAGCTGGTCTTCATAAGAATGTCTGGCTCTAATGGCTATGGCTGGAATTTTTTGTGGTGTGGGAGATATGTGCAGATGGAGTACAATTGGTACATGGGATAAAAGAGAGGGAATTCCCCGAATAGGAATCACTTCCCCCCAAAATAGCTAATCTCTCTTCTGCCCAAGAAACAGAATTCAGGGAAGCATTTGGGTCTTTTCCCAGCAGGGTAGTACTAAGGAACAACTGAGCACCCTGCATTCAAACATGATCCTTATTTCCTTGGAAGACTTTTCTTTCATTTCTGTTTTAATTAATGGAATGAAACAAGCATTTCCATAACATATTAATAAAAAAAATGATTGCATAGGAAACTGCAAGTCTATCATGTACAACTTGTTCTTCCTCTTAAAGAGATAATAAAGTTCTATTGTATATTTCCTTTTTTCTTTCCTTCCCTCCACTCTAGAGTTGGCTACCATTAGACACAAACAGGTCAGCACATAGCTTATTTGTCCATAGTTGTGTGCACTCTGTCTCCTCTGTTAGACTGTGAGTTCCTTAAGATCAGGGCCTGTCTTTTACCTTCTTTGTATCCACATTCATTAGCACACTGCCTGGCACCTAGCAAGTGCTTAATAAATGTTTACTGATTAACTCACTCCGTAAAAATAGAAGTGATAAGATTTACATCCCTGCCTGGCAGGGTCATCATAGGCAAAGTGCTATAGAAATGGGAGCTGTTATTATGATTGCTTCCCTTAACACGTCTTGCCTTTATTTCAATCATTTCTGTTCAAATCCTATCTCCTCACTTATACTGAAATCTTCTTGAAGACAATGACACCTTTGAGTGGTGATACTTTACTCAGTGTTTGCTGCATAGGAGGTATGAAATGAATCAAGTGAATGAATGATATGGGGTCTGGAAGAACAAAGAAGACTCGTTTTCTACCAAGTCAGCCCTCTCTCTGGCAAATGGGATAGTTTCTTCCTTAAGAGGATTCAATCCAAACTGCTCCCTCTTTACTATAGAAAAGGCCCTGCAACACACTGTGCCACCCAAGAACCAGGCACAAACCCCTCTGCCCTGGATCATTTCCCAGATTGCTCCATGCCCTTCAGCTCAATCACTCAGACAGATTTCACTTCCTATCAAAGATCAAGAGGATTCAAGCCTCTCAGACTCTAACACAAGTCACTGTCTCAACTATCACCAGAAAAGAAAAGTCATTTGGCCAGTTAAGGTCTTTTGCATTCACATTTAGTTCCAGCTCAGCAGCCAATCACAAGGCTTTCCTTTACTGCTCAACAAGCAAACAATAGTCAGAGAATACCTGTTCATACTATGAAGTGAATCCTTGGTCCCTTCCATTGCATATCATTGCATAAATTCAAAAGTTGCCTCACCAAATCCCTACAGAGGTGCCCTGCAGGTGCTTCCAGGACCCAGCCTTCATCCAGTAGCTTTTTTTGACTGGAATTTATTTTTCTAACTCATCTCTTCTTGCAGTTTTGTTAGTAATACACAGGGAAGCTAATTGTTTTGTAAATTTGTTTACATATCCTACTCATTCCTTCAATTAAGAATAGTTGAATCTTAAAGGTTTTCTAAACATAACAAATCTGAAGGCTACTCACTTAACCCTGTCTTCCTCAGTTTCCTCACCTGTAAAATGAGCTGGAGAAGGAAATGGAAAACTATTCCAGTATCTTTGCCAAGAAAACCCCAAATGTGTTCACTAAGATTCAGACATGGCTGAAAAATGAATTAAAAAAAAACATAAAACCCAATTGAATTTGTCAATAACTCTAATATTGTTTCCTTTTTGCCTATGAATATTATCCAAATAGCTTTTTTGCTCAGGGATGTAGCTAATATTTCTAGCTATATTAAATATCAGTGATGGTATCAGATATCCTTGACTTGTTCCTAAACTTCTTAGACAGGTCTTTGGTGTTCTTCCAGTACAGATTATGGTAGTACTTGGTTTTGTTTATTCTCATGAAGACTTTTTTCTTTTCTTCAAATTTATTTATTTTTCATTTTAAACATTCACTTTTATATGATTTTGAGTTCTAAATTTCCCCCTCTTCCTCCTGTCCTCCCTCCCAAACACAGCATGCAATCTGATATAAGCTATACATGTACAATCATATTAAACATATTTTCACATTAGTCATGTTTTAAGAAGAATCACAACCGAAATGAAACACTAGGAGAAAGAAAAACAAAAGAGAGAGAGAAAACTATATGCTTCGATCTGCATTCAGACTTCATAGCTCATTCTCTGGTTGTTGAGAGCATTTTCCACCATGAGTCTTCTGGAATTGTCTTAGATCATTGTATTACCACACACAAAAAGCAAAACTGAGAACCCATAAATGCTGACTGCAATTTTCTTAGTTTTGCTCTGTGAACATTAAACTCTCAACAATATCCATGTTTCTAGAAGTAACTATGGTATGTTTTACAAAACTCACCATTCTAAACTTGTTGTTTTTTTCCTTGGCTTTGATTTGGAGGACAAACAACAGTCCATATTCAGAAACCCAAGTGGAACCCACTGGGGAATAATCTGCCCTAAAAGTAATTGGTAAAGAACCCCAAATTATCCTGTGGCTTTATTAAACAGCCACTACAAAAAACAACATTGATGCCAACAATAATTCCCACAAAGTCCCCCTAAGGGAGACTAAAAGTCAGCTGTATTTCAGAGAATCAGGTCAAAATGTGGAAGATATAGCTACCCAATCATTGGGTATGACAAACCCGTGGGAATTTTGAGAAGCTAGAAGCTCAGTCAGTCCATATAGATATGGCTGACAAAAATGTTTACATTTCCTGTTGCTAGGGGATGCCTGGAATTCCTGAATATTGACC